TGGTGTTCTGAGCTGCCAACTAAAGGGATGAGTACAGACGCCAGATATTTGGAAACACTGTAAGTGACAGAGTTAATCATGCTAACAATTGTTCTTAAAGGTACACCTTGTTTGTGGATTTTAGGTAAACCATACAGACTAGGTGTGGCCTCCCCTGGGTACAGTCTGTGGTATAGAAAACGGTCAATAGTTTTGTCCTGAATATTTTGGAACAGGAGAAAGCTATTGACCGTTTTACGTTGCTTAGAAACTACAGAGGGTTTTTAAAAAGTTAGAGATGTTGTCAGCAAAAAAAGAAATTGTCTGATTCCAAAAATAGTGGAAAAACTCTTTTTCCTAAAAAAAACCCCTCTGAATTCCCATCCCCAAATTTCATGACTGTCTGAGTTACACAAGCACAACCCACCTTCCCTGCACCTACAGTACTGTTTCGAAAAGCACATCCTCTCTCAATCTCAGATACTGGTACTAGTCAACATATCTACTGAATCAACTAAACATATATTGGCAGGGTTTGTTGTCTACTATTTCACCACTAGATGTCACTGAAATGAACCTTTGAATGAATGAACCCAAGTTCAATACAATTGGCAAAGTGGTTCAATACTGCTTTATTGCTTCATTTGGCCATCACTAGTAAAATCTAAAAAAATGCTGTGGACTTTCTATTAGCATTAGCGTAGCTAACTAATCGCTAACGGTAGTTTAATAACACTTTAAATGGTAAAAAGTCCAAATCTGATTCACTAAGACAAACCGACCGAGAGTCGTGTCTTGGAGTGAAAATTTAACGGTGAAAAATCCATATTTTAAACGATCCAAAATTGCATTTTTGGACCAGTAATAGCAGCTAAGCTGAGAAGCTAAAGCTAAGCTAACAGGCCGACCTCGGCTATAAGCGACGCTTCGTCTGTCCAAGTCTGTGAAAATGCCGTCATGCTGAAAAGCTGACCGCTTCTAAACTTTTGTGATCTCTGCAAAAACAAAGGCTGAGAATTTGTTTGCTGATTTTTATTAAATGCTTTGTAGAAAAATGCTATGCTAATAGCTCCCCACACCAAACGTCCACCATTTTGAACAGAGCTTTGAACCGGAAAGAGAGACGTCAAAGGTCCTCCTCTTCCCTTAAAGCCATACACGCTTCTTATCCAAACTTGGTGGTCAATAAAAGGTACTACACTGAAATCAATTGCATTTATTGAACTTTAAATCTTAATAAAGCTTACTAACTTAATTAAACACCTTAAGCAGGTCAAATTAAGTTTAAGCATTTCTGGATAACATATTTAAAAAAATTAACCAACATTTCTCCTTAAATTTGACACTAATTTCAGTTTTTATGAGTTCAGCTAAGCTGAAAGCTGAGAAAACTTAGTGGACTTATAAAATAAAAAATTTTAAAAATTCTTGTCAAAGAAACTTTTAACTCCACTTTAAATTGAAACAGTCAGGTTGAACTAAATGATTTTATCATACATTTTAAATGTTTTGAAGTTTTAAGATCTGATTAAACTAATGTAAATATTTGTTGATATTAAAAGGTTGTTTATTATTTAGCTTTAATTTAAAGGTTGAAGCAACCAGGCTCCATTTAACAATTAAATTCAATTCAAAAATACTTTATTAAACCCAGAGGGAAATTAAATGTTGTTGTAACTCATCATCCTGGTTTCATTAGAGAGTTATTATTGATGCTGATGGCTGTGGGCAGGAAGGATCTCTTGTAGCGGTCTGTCCTACAATGGATTTGAAGAAGCCTCTGACTGAAGATAATTTGTTGTTGTATGAGAGTCTGATGAAGAGGATACTGAGGGTTGTCTATAATGTTCTTCATTTTATGAAGAATTCTTCTTTGTACAAACCGGATTCCAAAAAAGTTGGGAAATTAATCAAATTATGAATAAAAACTGAATGTAATGATGTGGAGATGGCAAATGTCAATATTGTATTCGTAATATAACATAGATGACAGATCAAAAGTTTAATCTGAGTAAATGTAACATTTTAAAGGAAAAATATGTTGATTCAAAATTTCACAGAGTCAACAAATCCCAAAAAAAGTTGGGACAAGTAGCAATAAGTGGCTGGAAAATGGAAATTGAGCATATAATGAACAGCTGGAAGACCAGATAACACTAACTAAGTCAATTGACAACATGACTGGGTATAAAAAGAGCTTCTCAGAGTGTCAGTGTCTCTCAAAAGCCAAGATGGTAAGAGAATCACCATTTCCACCCTTGTTGCGCAGAAAGATAGTACAGCAATACCAGAATAGTGTTACCCAGCGTAAAATAGCAAAGACTTTTAAGTTATCATCATCAACCGTGCATAACATCATCAAAAGATTCAGAGAATCTGGAACAATCGCTGTGCGTAAGGGTCAAGGCCGTAAAACTCTACAGGATGCTCGTGATCTCCGGGCCCTTAAACGTCACTGCACCTCAAACAGGAATGCCACTGTCTCAAGGAAATAACAGAATGGGCTCAGGAATACTTCCAGAAAGCATTGTCAGTGAACACAATCCACCGTGCCATCCACCGTTTCCAGCTGAAAGTCTACAGTGCAAAGAGGAAGCCATTTCTAAGAAAGCTCCACAAGCTCAGACATTTGCACTGGGCCAGGGGTCATTTAAAATGGAGTGTGGCAAAATGGAAGACTGTTCTGTGGTCACATGAGTCATGATTTGAAGTTCTTTATGGAACACTGGGACGCCATGTCATCCGGACTAGAGAGGACAAGGATAGCCCAAGTTGTTATCAACGCTCCGTTCAGAAGCCTGCATCACTGATGGTATGGGGTTGCATGAGCGCTTGTGGCATGGGCAGCTTGCATGTCTGGAAAGGCACCATTAATGCAGAGAACCATGTTCAGGTTCTAGAACAACATATGCTCCCATCTAGACGTCATCTCTTTCAGGGAAGACCCTGCATTTTTCAACACGATAATGCCAGACCACATTCTGCAGCAATCACAACATCATGGCTACGTAGGAGAAGGATCCGGGTACTGAAATGGCCAGCCTGCAGTCCAGATCTTTCACCTATAGAGAACATTTGGCGCATCATAAAGAGGAAGGTGCGACAAAGAAGGCCCAAGACGATTGAACAGTTAGAGGCCTGTATTAGACATGAATGGGAGAGCATTCCTATTTCTAAACTTGAGAAGCTGGTCTCCTCTGTCCCCAGATGTCTGTTGAGTGTTGTAAGAAGAAGGGGGGATGCCACACAGTGGTAAAAATGAACTTGTCCCATCTTTTTTGGGATTTGTTGACGCCATGAAATTTGGAAACAACAGATTTTTCCCTTAAAATTATATATTCTCTCAGTTTAAACTTTTGATCTGTGATTTGTGTTCTATTCTGAATAAAATATTAGATGTTGGCACCTCCACATCATTGCATTCAGTTTTTATTCACAATTTGTTTAGTGTCCCAACTTTTTTGGAATCTGGTTTGTACAATCATCTCCAAAGGTTCTAGAGGAGTCCCCAGAACTGAGCCAGCCTTCTTTATGAGCTTGTTGATCTTTTTTAAGTCACTTGCTCTGGTGCTGCTCCCTCAGCAGATGATGGCAGAAGAGATAGAGCTCTCTCCAACAGACTTATAGAAGATATGCAGCATCTTGTTGCAAACATTGAAGGACTTCAGCTTCCTCAAAAAGTACAGTCTGCTCTGTCCCTTCTTGTAGACAACTTCACTGTTGCATTTCCAGTCCAGTCTGTTGTCCAGGTGAACCCCAAGGTATTTATACTTCTCGACCACCTCCACTTCTTCTCCCATGATGGAAATAGGGTTGGACCTGTTCCTGTTTCTCCTGAAATCTACAATCATCTCCTTTGTTTTGTTCACATTCAATATGAGATGATTATTTCCACACCTTGCCACAAAGC